AGCAGTACGAGTGTATATCATAGTTACCCATGTTCGTTTTCTTTAATATAAGGACCCTGGAGGTGAAAGAAAGAGAATGGAAGCCCCTCTCTGAGAATGGGAATCTATTCCCGATGGAGCGCTCTGAGAATATGCCATATATTATTCATTCTGGAGTATTTACCATATTTCTTTGTTATTTATATTGTTTATTATGTCATATTAGATCAATTGTGATAGATAAATAAGCCGTAGAAGCTATACTAGCGTTATATTGAGCCATATTCCCCGGCCACCCCGAGACTGGAATTTTCCATGATGTCAGCAAAATGGTGTCGGGAGGTTCCTGGTTGGTTGGAACTCTACGGATAAGTCCCACCCACTGTATTATGACGCCAAATCGTCAATTATTATCTTAGAAAGAATAATACAATAAATACACGAAAAAAAACGGAAAAAAAACAAAAAAAATTGACGACAGGTGAGCACACCTGCCGCGGGTGGTGACGTCACCCTAGGTGTTTTAAATGACCATAATTCCTTGTAGGAATGTCGTAGAACAATGATTCTGGTACCATTGTGTTGCCAGAGAGTTAAGCTATTTTTCTATAAGATTAACTCAGTTTGTGAATTTTTCGACAAAATTTTTCGTTCACGCTGAGTGAGTGCTAATTCCCCTAAAGCCAATAATAACCCAACACAAAGCTGCAGTGTGAATGATCGTAGAGTCCACTGCTAGATAATCCCCCCCCCCCACTCTTCAGTGACCTAAACCTACTCACTATATAAAATATTCACTCTTACTACTGTGCATCCTACATTTACAGAACAATAAATTCTAATATAAATCCTGAACTGAAGCACTTTCTTGCTTGTTCCAACAGAACCCATAGACATAATACTAGGCACAAAAATCTCTGACATTCCTCGTGTCTGGCTAAATCTCTTCAAAAATTCAATGCACATAAAAGAACCCAAAATCTGGAACTCCCTACCAGAAATCTCCAGACTGAACAAACCAGCATTTTCAAAAGTACTGTTAAAAAACACCTTGTCCCTCTAACATATCCCAGCATCAGCTAAATGTGTAAAAAGATGTAAAAACTATACATGCATATTCTCAATGTCATGAACATTATTTTATATTTTATCACACTGGCCGATTCCCACCAAGGCAGGGTGGCCCGAAAAAGAAAAACTTTCACCATCATTCACTCCATCACTGTCTTGCCAGAAGGGTGCTTTACACTACAGTTTTTAAACTGCAACATTAACACCCCTCCTTCAGAGTGCAGGCACTGTACTTCCCATCTCCAGGACTCAAGTCCAGCCTGCCGGTTTCCCTGAACCCCTTCATAAATGTTACTTTGCTCACACTCCAACAGCACGTCAAGTATTAAAAACCATTTGTCTCCATTCAACTCCTATCAAACACTCTCATGCATGCCTGCTGGAAGTCCAAGCCCCCGCACACAAAACCTCCTTTACCCCCCTCCCTCAACCTTTCCTAGGCCGACCCCTACCCGCCTTCCTTCCACTACAGACTGATACACTCTTGAAGTTATTCTGTTTCGCTCCATTCTCTCTACATGTCCGAACCACCTCAACAACCCTTTCCTCAGCCCTCTGGACAACAGTTTTGGTAATCCCGCACCTCCTCCTAACTTCCATAACTACGAATTCTCTGCATTATATTCACACCACACATTGCCCTCAGACATGACATCTCCACTGCCTCCAGCCTTCTCCTCGCTGCAACATTCATCACCCACGCTTCACACCCATAATAAGAGCGTTGGTAAAAACTATACTCTCATACATTCCCCTCTTTGCCTCCAAGGACAAAGTTCTTTGTCTCCACAGACTCCTAAGTGCACAACTCACTCTTTTTCCCTCATCAATTCTATGATTCACCTCATCTTTCATAGACCCATCCGCTGACACGTCCACTCCCAAATATCTGAATATGTTCACCTCCTCCATACTCTCTCCCTCCAATCTGATATCCAATCTTTCATCACCTTAATCTTTTGTTATCTTCATAACCTTACTCTTTCCTGTATTCACCTTTAATTTTCTTCTTTGCACACCCTACCAAATTCATCCACCAATCTCTGCAACTTCTCTTCAGAATCTCCCAAGAGCACAGTGTCATCAGCAAAGAGCAACTGTGACAACTCCCACTTTGTGTGTGATTCTTTATCTTTTAACTCCACGCCTCTTGCCAAGACCCTCGAAATTTACTTCTCTTACAACCCCATCTATAAAATATTAAACAACCACGGTGACATCACCATTCCTTGTCTAAGGCCTACTTTTACTGGGAAAAAATTTCCCTCTTTCCTACTTACCCCTAACTTGAGCCTCACTATCCTCGTAAAAACTCTTTCATGCTTTCAGTAAAATACTCCTACACCATCACTGGGAACATCTGCCACATTGCCCCCTATCCACCTGTCATAACGCCTTTTCCAAATCCATAATGCCACAAAGACCTCTTTAGCCTTATCTAAATACTGTTTCACTTTATAAAGTTTCACTGTAAACACCTGGTCCACACCACCCCCTATCCTTTCCTAAAGCCTCCTTGTTTATCTGCTATCCTATTCTCCGTCTTACTCTTAATTCTTTCAATATAACTCTAAACCCTACACTTTACCAGGTATACTCAACAGACTTATCCCCCTATAATTTTTGCCACTCTCTTTATCCCCTTTGCCTTTATACAAAGGAACTATGCATGCTCTCTGCCAGTCCCTAGGTACCTTACCCTCTTCCATACATTATTAAATAATTGCACCAACCACTCCAAAACTATATCCCCACCTGCTTTTAACATTTCTATCTTTATCCCATCAATCCCGGCTGCCTTACCCCCTTTCATTTTACCTACTACTGCCTCACGAACTTCCCCCACACTCACAACTGGCTCTTCCTCACTCCTACAAGATGTTATTCCTCCTTGCCCTATACACGAAATCACAGCTTCCCTATCTTCATCAACATTTAAACAATTCCTCAAAATATTTCCCTCCATCTTCCCAATACTCTAACTCTCCATTTAATAACTCTCCTCTCCTATTTTTAACTGACAAATCCATTTGTTCTCTAGGCTTTCTTAACTTGTTAATCTCACTCCAAAACTTTTTTCTTATTTTCAACAAAATTTGTTGATAACATCTTACCCACTCTCTCATTTGCTCTCTTTTTACATTGCTTCACCACTCTCTTAACCTCTCTCTTTTTCTCCATATACTCTTCCCTCCTTGCATCACTTCTACTTTGTAAAAACTTCTCATATGCTAACTTTTTCTCCCTTACTACTCTCTTTACATCATCATTCCACCAATCGCTCCTCTTCCCTCCTGCACCCACTTTCCTGTAACCACAAACTTTTGCTGAAACACTCTAACACTACATTTTTAAACCTACCCCATACCTCTTCGACCCCATTGCCTATGCTCTCATATAGCCCATCTATCCTCCAATAGCTGTTTATATCTTACCCTAAAAATGCCTCCTCTTTTAGTTTATAAACCTTCACCTCTCTCTTCCCTGATGCTTCTATTCTCCTTGTATCCCATCTACCTTTTACTCTCAGTGTAGCTACAACTAGAAAGTGATCTGATATATCTGTGGCCCCTCTATAAACATGTACATCCTGAAGTCTACTCAACAGTCTTTTATCTACCAATACATAATCCAACAAACTACTGTCATTTTGCCCTACATCATATCTTGTATACTTATTTATCCTCTTTTTCTTAAAATATGTATTACCTATAACTAAACCCCTTTCTATACAAAGTTCAGTCAAAGGGCTCCCATTATCATTTACACCTGGCACCCCAAACTTACCCACCACACCCTCTCTAAAAGTTTCTCCTACTTTAGCATTCAGGTCCCCTACCACAATTACTCTCTCACTTGGTTCAAAGGCTCCTATACATTCACTTAACATCTCCCACAATCTCTCTCTCTCCTCTGCATTCCTCTCTTCTCCAGGTGCATACACGCTTATTATGACCCACTTCTCGCATCCAACCTTTACTTTAATCCACATAATTCTTGAATTTACACATTCATATTCTCTTTTCTCCTTCCATAACTGATCATTTAACATTACTGCTACCCCTTCCTTTGCTCTAACTCTCTCAGATACTCCAGATTTAATCCCATTTATTTCCCCCCACTGAAACTCTCCTACCCCCTTCAGCTTTGTTTCGCTTAGGGCCAGGACATCCAACTTCTTTTCATTCATAACATCAGCAATTATCTGTTTCTTGTCATCCGCACTACATCCACGCACATTTAAGCATCCCAGTTTTATAAAGTTTTTCTTCTTCTCTTTTTTAGTAAATGTCTACAGGAGAAGGGGTTACTAGCCCATTGCTCCCGGCATTTTAGTCGCCTCATACGACACGCATGGCTTACGGAGGAAAGATTCTTTTCCACTTCCCCATGGACAATAGAAGAAATAAAGAAGAACAAGAGCTATTTAGAAAAAGGGGAAAAACCTAGATGTATGTATATATATATGCATGAACATATGTAAGACATTATAAACAATATATACTTTCACTATCTGTAACCCTCCCAGTTGTTAAACAATCATTTGTGTCCCCTTTATGTAAATAATCAAACCTCTAATTCCTCTCAGTTATACTTGTTAAAGCCGCATGGCATGAACTAATAGAATAATCAGTTCTCTTGTATTCATTGTAAACTCCTAAATTTACACTATTGTTATTGCCTTATTATTCTTAAGTTAGTCTTAAGTTTACCCAAAATGCTCTGCACATATAGGGGCTTATGGCATATACACCCAAATGTCATTCTCCTTTGTACAAACATTGTACAAACATAATTTATACGAGATGAGTTACTGGCCCCTTGTTCCCAGCATTTAGTCACCTTCCATGACATGCATGGCTTACAGAGGAAGTATTTGAAGTAGAAATATTGTGTAAATAAGATATGTATCATAAATACATTTTCTTAATTTTTCATTGTTTCTCTAGGTTAAATATGTGAAGTATTCACTTGGTGATGATGTGAATTCCCAATTGCTAGTCCAGTGTATGGGCATCACATCTGGACTTGGTCGCATCTTCTTTGGCTTGATTGCAGATCGTCCATGGGTCAATCGCATATTCTTGCAGCAGGTAAGGTTTGACAGGCACATGTGTGCATATATTTTATAACTAAGCTTTATTTTTCTTGAATTTTTAAATTCACATGTACACTAGAGTTTTCATACTACCACGTTGCCTTCTAATTTCTTCAATCCATATTCTCGGAAAATACTCACTCGACACATCAATCTCCTACACATCTCTGCTGCCTCCAGCCTCCTCACAGCAACATTCACAGATTTTACATCACATCAACACTAAAGTTTTGTCAACAATATTATGATAAATTTCCCTTTTTGCATCAGCTTAAAAAAGAATAAAACATTGCTGTATGTTATTAATGATCCAAGAAGATTTCTATCAGTTAACTAGTGGTGATAAAGATATTGTATGTAGATTGAAGGAAACCGGTTAGCAGGACTTGAGTCTTGGAGGTGGGAAGTACAGTGCCTGCACTCTGAAGGAAGGGTGGAGATATGTTGCAGTTTTTTTTTAACTGTAGTGTCAGCATGCCTCTGACAAGACAGTAATGGAGTGAGTGATGATGAAATTGTTTCTTCTCTTTTGGGTCACCCTTCTTTGGTGGCAAACGGTTGATCTGTTAATATAATAAAAAGTATAGATTACCGGTAATTCAGTTGAAAGGGTCATGTGAATGGAGATGTCTGCACATATCTGGCAGGATAGCTATGGAAGACATTATAAAGTGTTTCCTTATTTACCCTACCTTAATGGGAGATAGCTATTGTAGTATAAAAAAATAATATTTTGCAGTAATATTGTCATGTTTTATCTATTTTAGATGTCATTCTTCTGTATTGGGACCTTGACCATGCTCCTGACTGCTGCTAATGCCATGCCCTTCTTCATTGTGATTGCTTTGGGCATGGGACTATTTGATGGCTGCTTCATCTCTCTCCTTGGACCCATTGCATTTGATATTGTTGGACCTGTAGGAGCCTCCCAAGCAATTGGCTGCCTCCTAGCTATGTGTTCCATTCCACTCACTTGTGGTCCAGCCATTGCAGGTTAGTTTCATGTTCTTTATTTCTTCAAGGGGAGTGCTTTGATGCTGCTTATCCTCAAGGGAAGTTACTTGATGCCAGTGAGGGGCTTTTGATCTAAGAAATTCAACCAGATCTCCTCTTCCTTGGATCGAATCTGATTCCCACCTACTTCCCCAGGTGCTGAATAACCCTTATGGGTTTAGCATTCCCAGGAATGTAATAACTTGATACTGTTAAAGTGCTTGTGATCCAGTTTTTTTTTTTAATTTACATAGGTTTTATGTTCTGATAATTACAATTTACTATAAATCTTGTAATATCATGGCCAATATTTGTTCTTACACCATTATTAGGTATGGATATAGTAATGAAACAGTCACAAACACATTGACAGGTGAACATGTTCACCTGCCTCAGTCACATACTTCTTATTTCTTTCAACGCACTAGCTGTATCCCACTGAAGCAGGGTGGCCCCCCCCCAAAAAAAAAGTTTCTTTTTATAAATTTAGTACTGCATACAGGAGAAGGGGTTACTAGCCCCTTGTTCCTGGCATTTTAGTCGCCTCTTACGACATACATGGCTTACGGAGGAAGAATTCTGTTCCACTTCCCCATGGAGATGAGAGGAAATAAACAGGAACAAGACCCAGTAAGAAAAACAAACACCCAGAGGAATGTGTATGTATATATATATTATTATATTTTATTATCACACTGGCCGATTCCCACCAAGGCAGGGTGGCCCGAAAAAGAAAAACTTTCACCATCATTCACTCCATCACTGTCTTGCCAGAAGGGTGCTTTACACTACAGTTTTTAAACTGCAACATTAACACCCCTCCTTCAGAGTGCAGGCACTGTACTTCCCATCTCCAGGACTCAAGTCCGGCCTGCCGGTTTCCCTGAATCCCTTCATAAATGTTACTTTGCTCACACTCCAACAGCACGTCAAGTATTAAAAACCATTTGTCTCCATTCACTCCTATCAAACACGCTCACGCATGCCTGCTGGAAGTCCAAGCCCCTCGCACACAAAACCTCCTTTACCCCCTCCCTCCAACCCTTCCTAGGCCGACCCCTACCCCGCCTTCCTTCCACTACAGACTGATACACTCTTGAAGTCATTCTGTTTCGCTCCATTCTCTCTACATGTCCGAACCACCTCAACAACCCTTCCTCAGCCCTCTGGACAACAGTTTTGGTAATCCCGCACCTCCTCCTAACTTCCAAACTACGAATTCTCTGCATTATATTCACACCACACATTGCCCTCAGACATGACATCTCCACTGCCTCCAGCCTTCTCCTCGCTGCAACATTCATCACCCACGCTTCACACCCATATAAGAGCGTTGGTAAAACTATACTCTCATCCATTCCCCTCTTTGCCTCCAAGGACAAAGTTCTTTGTCTCCACAGACTCCTAAGTGCACCACTCACTCTTTTTCCCTGATCAATTCTATGATTCACCTCATCTTTCATAGACCCATCCGCTGACACGTCCACTCCCAAATATCTGAATACGTTCACCTCCTCCATACTCTCTCCCTCCAATCTGATATTCAATCTTTCATCACCTAATCTTTTTGTTATCCTCATAACCTTACTCTTTCCTGTATTCACCTTTAATTTTCTTCTTTTGCACACCCTACCAAATTCATCCACCAATCTCTGCAGCTTCTCTTCAGAATCTCCCAAAAGCACAGTGTCATCAGCAAAGAGCAGCTGTGACAACTCCCACTTTGTGTGTGATTCTTTATCTTTTAACTCCACGCCTCTTGCCAAGACCCTCGCATTTACTTCTCTTACAACCCCATCTATAAATATATTAAACAACCACGGTGACATCACACATCCTTGTCTAAGGCCTACTTTTACTGCGAAAAAATTTCCCTCTTTCCTACATACTCTAACTTGAGCCTCACTATCCTCGTAAAAACTCTTCACTGCTTTCAGTAACCTACCTCCTACACCATACACTTGCAACATCTGCCACATTGCCCCCCTATCCACCCTGTCATACGCCTTTTCCAAATCCATAAATGCCACAAAGACCTCTTTAGCCTTATCTAAATACTGTTCACTTATATGTTTCACTGTAAACACCTGGTCCACACACCCCCTACCTTTCCTAAAGCCTCCTTGTTCATCTGCTATCCTATTCTCCGTCTTACTCTTAATTCTTTCAATTATAACTCTACCATACACTTTACCAGGTACACTCAACAGACTTATCCCCCTATAATTTTTGCACTCTCTTTTATCCCCTTTGCCTTTATACAAAGGAACTATGCATGCTCTCTGCCAATCACTAGGTACCTTACCCTCTTCCATACATTTATTAAATAATTGCACCAACCACTCCAAAACTATATCCCCACCTGCTTTTAACATTTCTATCTTTATCCCATCAATCCCGGCTGCCTTACCCCCTTTCATTTTACCTACTGCCTCACGAACTTCCCCCACACTCACAACTGGCTCTTCCTCACTCCTACAAGATGTTATTCCTCCTTGCCCTATACACGAAATCACAGCTTCCCTATCTTCATCAACATTTAACAATTCCTCAAAATATTCCCTCCATCTTCCAATACCTCTAACTCTCCATTTAATAACTCTCCTCTCCTATTTTTAACTGACAAATCCATTTGTTCTCTAGGCTTTCTTAACTTGTTAATCTCACTCCAAAACTTTTTCTTATTTTCAACAAAATTTGTTGATAACATCTCACCCACTCTCTCATTTGCTCTCTTTTTACATTGCTTCACCACTCTCTTAACCTCTCTCTTTTTCTCCATATACTCTTCCCTCCTTGCATCACTTCTACTTTGTAAAAACTTCTCATATGCTAACTTTTTCTCCCTTACTACTCTCTTTACATCATCATTCCACCAATCACTCCTCTTCCCTCCTGCACCCACTTTCCTGTAACCACAAACTTCTGCTGAACACTCTAACACTACATTTTTAAACCTACCCCATACCTCTTCGACCCCATTGCCTATGCTCTCATTAGCCCATCTATCCTCCAATAGCTGTTTATATCTTACCCTAACTGCCTCCTCTTTTAGTTTATAAACCTTCACCTCTCTCTTCCCTGATGCTTCTATTCTCCTTGTATCCCATCTACCTTTTACTCTCAGTGTAGCTACAACTAGAAAGTGATCTGATATATCTGTGGCCCCTCTATAAACATGTACATCCTGAAGTCTACTCAACAGTCTTTTATCTACCAATACATAATCCAACAAACTACTGTCATTTCGCCCTACATCATATCGTGTATACTTATTTATCCTCTTTTTCTTAAAATATGTATTACCTATAACTAAACCCCTTTCTATACAAAGTTCAATCAAAGGGCTCCCATTATCATTTACACCTGGCACCCCAAACTTACCTACCACACCCTCTCTAAAAGTTTCTCCTACTTTAGCATTCAGGTCCCCTACCACAATTACTCTCTCACTTGGTTCAAAGGCTCCTATACATTCACTTAACATCTCCCAAAATCTCTCTCTCTCCTCTGCATTCCTCTCTTCTCCAGGTGCATACACGCTTATTATGAACCACTTCTCGCATCCAACCTTTACTTTAATCCACATAATTCTTGAATTTACACATTCATATTCTCTTTTCTCCTTCCATAACTGATCATTTAACATTACTGCTACCCCTTCCTTTGCTCTAACTCTCTCAGATACTCCAGATTTAATCCCATTTATTTCCCCCCACTGAAACTCTCCTACCCCCTTCAGCTTTGTTTCGCTTAGAGCCAGGACATCTAACTTCTTTTCATTCATAACATCAGCAATCATTTGTTTCTTGTCATCCGCACTACATCCATGCACATTTAAGCATCCCAGTTTTATAAAGTTTTTCTTCTCTTTTTTAGTAAATGTATACAGAAGAAGGGGTTACTAGCCCATTGCTCCCGGCATTTTAGTCGCCTCATACGACACACATGGCTTACGGAGGAAAGATTCTTTTCCACTTCCCCATGGACAATAGAAGAAATAAAAAAGAACAAGAGCTATTTAGAAAAAGGAGAAAAACCTAGATGTATGTATATATATATATGCATGTGCGTGTCTGTGAAGTGTGACCAAAGTGTAAGTAGGAGTAGCAAGATATCCCTGTTATCTAGCGTGTTTATGAGACAGAAAAAGAAACCAGCAATCCTACCATCATGCAAAACAGTTACAGGTTTTTGTTTCACAGTCATCTGGCAGGACGGTAGTACTTCCCTGGGTGGTTGCTGTCTACCAACCTACTACCTACCTACCTACCTATATATATATATATATATATATTCTTTCTTTCTTTCAACACACCGGCCGTATCCCACCGAGGCGGGGTGGCCCAAAAGGAAAAAACGAAAGTTTCTCCTTTTACATTTAGTAATTATACAGGAGAAGAGGTTACTAGCCCCTTGCTCCCGGCATTTTAGTCGCCTCTTACAACACGCATGGCTTACGGAGGAAGAATTCTGTTCCACTTCCCCATGGAGATAAGAGGAAATAAACAAGAATAAGAACTAGAAAGAAAATAGAAGAAAACCCAGAGGGGTGTGTATATATGTGCTTGTACATGTATGTGTAGTGTGACCTAAGTGTAAGTAGAAGTAGCAAGACGTACCTGAAATCTTGCATGTTCATGAGACAGAAAAAGGACACCAGCAATCCTACCATCATGTAAAACAATTACAGGCTTTCGTTTTACAAATCACTTGGCAGGACGGTAAGACCTCCCTGGGCGGTTGCTGTCTACCTACCTACCTACCTACCTACCTACCTACCTACCTACCTACCTACCTACCTACCTACCTACCTACCTACCTACCTACCTACCTACCTACCTACCTACCCACCTCCTACCTACCTACCTACCTACTACCTACCTACCTACCACCTACCTACCTACCTACCTACTACCTACCTACCTACCTACCCCCACTACCTACCCCCCCACCTACCTACCTACCTACCCTCCTACCTACCTACCTACCTCCTACCTACCCACCTACCTACCTAACTACCTACCTACCTACCTACCCACCCACCCACCTACCTACCTACCTCCCACCTACCTCCTACCTACACCCACCTACCTACCACCTACCTACCTACCCACCTACCTACCTACCCCACCTACCTACTCCTACCTACCCACCTACCTTTCCTACCCACCTACCTAACTACCTACCTACCCACCTACCTACCTACCACCCACCTACCTACCCACCCACCTACCCACCTACCTACCTACCTACCTACCTACCTACCCACCTACCCAATGATGCATGCTTGTCATGATGTGTGACCTAAGTGTAAGTTTTAAAATAGCAAGATGTCCGAAAATTTTCAATTTTTGAGCCGAAAAAAGAACCCGCTATCTTACCATCATGTAAACAATTACACTCACTTGGTAGGACCCAAAACCTTCCCGGCAGTTGCTGTCATCAACCCCATTTCCAGGAACCACAACTATTGTCTAGAAATATATACAAATTATTTATAGGTCCCAGTAATGTTTTTATAAATGATGGAGTACATATATGAAACTCCTTGAAACAGTGTCAGACAGAGAGGCATTCTGCTTATTGTGCAATCTACCCTCAGCACTACACCCAGTGAACCTTGGCATGTTTTCTATTTGTTCTCACAGTTGCGCACACACACAAGCATGACTGTCTCTTGTCTCTGTGTCTGCCTGTCTCTGTCTATCTGCCTGTCTACCTACATGCTTGTCTCTCTGTCTACTTGCCTGTCTGCATCTACCTGCCTGTCTCTCTCTGTCTACCTGCCTGTATCTCTCGACCTGTCTGTCTCTGCCTCTCAGAGAACCATTCATGAACCTGATCATAAGCTAGACTTTCAAACAAGTATTACACAAGTTGCAGAATTGTCATATCTGCACAAATTAAAACATACAACTGTGGCTGAGCATAAGCATGACCGTGATGAGTAATACGCATTTTGGCCACAGTTGTATGTATCCACTTGTGCAGACATGACAATGTTGCAGCTTGCATAATACCTGTTCAGAAGTCTAGCTTACTATCAGGTTCATGAGTGGCTCTCTCTATCTCTCTCTGAGAGAGAGAGATAGATAAATAGACAGACAGATAGACAGGCTATAAGGCTTCCTAGCCAACCACTTAGCCAGCTGGCCAGCCGAACACATTGCAGAATCATTTCTCTTTACTTAGGGCATAGGTGATAGGACATTCTGGAAGGATGACACTACCAGTTATATCAAAATTGAAAGGGTGTGGCACAAATGTTGCACATGTGTTATTATGTAGGCTTTTGATATTTCCTCAACTACTTGTGGCCACATCCATCTCAAAGCCACTAAACTGTGGGTCAGCATTATTCTCCTCCTAAAAGGAGAGTATTAATACATGGCATTAGTGAATCATTAGTTAATCATAGAATTGATGAGGGAAAAAAGGTGAGTGGTGCATTGAGGTATATGTGGAGTCAAAAAAACGTTATCTATGGAGGCAAAGAAGGGAATGTATGAAAGTATAGTAGTACCAACACTCTTATATGGGTGTGAAGCTTGGGTGGTAAATGCAGCAGCGAGGAGACAGTTGGAGGCAGTGGAGATGTCCTGTTTAAGGGCAATGTGTGGTGTAAATATTATGCAGAAAATTCGGAGTGTGGAAATTAGGAAAAGGTGTGGAGTTAATAAAAGTATTAGTCAGAGGGCAGAAGAGGGGTTGTTGAGGTGGTTTGGTCATTTAGAGAGAATGGATCAAAGTAGAATGACATGGAAAGCATATAAATCTATAGGGAAGGAAGGCGGGGTAGGGGTCGTCCTCGAAAGGGTTGGAGAGAGGGGGTAAAGGAGGTTTTGTGGGCAAGGGACTTGGACTTCCAGCAAGCATGCGTGAGCGTGTTAGATAGAGAGGGTGAATGGAGACAAATGGTACTTGGGACTGACGATCTGTTGGAGGTGTTGAGCAGGGTAAATATTTAGTAAAGGGATTCAGGGAAACCGGTTATTTTCATATAGTCGGACTTGAGTCCTGGAAATGGGAAGTACAATGCCTACACTTTAAAGGAGGGGTTTGGGATATTGGCAGTTTGGAGGGATATGTTGTGTATCTTTATACGTATATGCTTCTAAACTGTTGTATTCTGAGCACCTCTGCAAAAACAGTGATAATGTGCGAGTGTGGTGAAAGTGTTGAATGATGATGAAAGTATTTTCTTTTTGGGGATTTTCTTTCTTTTTTGGGTCATCCTGCCTCGGTGGGAGACGGCCGACTTGTTGAAAAAAAAAAAAAAAATTAGTGAATCCCTGGGGTTTGCACGCTGTTTGCTCTAGCTGGTGCTCAGTTGAACTGGTGCTTCCACAAGGTACTAAGTGGTCCCAGATTTATTTAATACTGCACACAGTGACTGTTAAGACCCATTCTATACCACCTAGGCCTGTCAGGCCTCTAGTGCAAAATTTGAAGGCAGGAAAATAAAATGCTGATCTACATTTCGAGTGTTAGCAGTAAGACCATGGATCTACGTTTGGACAGTTAAAGGATTAAGATAAAAAGTCTAAAAACATCCTGTATTTTATACAATCCATGATGTTACTGGGGTAGTATTGGACCATCAAGGATGCCACAGCACCAAAAAAAGAGAGGAGGGTTTGTGATCATCAGCTTTGATCTAAGAAGGGGATGGTTGCTCCAGTTTAAAACTATAAAAGCAAAGTTTTTGGCTGCCATTTACAGTAAGGATGTTGTTTTTGTTGGGCAAGCCTACCCCCTTTACCTCCCTTCACCCCTGCCCCCAGTTAAGGCACTGTTTTACAACATGTCATCATTCACCACAAACCACCACCAATTTATAGCCTTCCACCACACTCTACAACCTTCTACCACATACCACCACTTTCTGCAACCCTCCACAATATGCCACTACATTCGATATCACTCCACAGTATGCCACCTAGCATTACAGATTTCCTTCTCATTCTATAACCATCCAAAACATTCCACCATACATATATAATTATTGTATTTTATTATGATCTTTATGTGAGTGCAGTAATATAGCATTTTTACAGGCAGCAGTATTGACAGATTCAGTGTTTTAACTATCCTCACTCCTTTCTCATTCCTTTCTCACTTCCTCACCTCACTGCCTCTTTCACTTTCACTGTCTGCTGTCGTAAGTATCAGGGTAGTGTAATTGTGGTAGCAGAAGAGTACATGTACAGATGATATAAACTATAAAAAAATTCACAAAAGCTCTTGCTAACTATATAAGTTTGAATGGCTCTAAAAATTATAGCTTCTTTATGGCATAATTGTATTTGGAGACTTGTGCTGCATTAAAACCATATATGCTTTTATTTCTAAATATTGTATTATATGCTTGTTATTAAATAAAAACTTTTTCTGCAGGTGCTCTTTATGATCAACTACAAAGTTACTTGATCCCATTCCTCTGTGCTGGTATTCCTCCAATAATTGGCTCCTTTATCCTCTTCTCTATCAGCTGCATCAAACAGCCACCCAAGGTTAGAAATACTCTCTTTGCTACCTTATAAAATACACAGTGGAACCTCAATTTTCGTTTGCCCTGATTTTCATCGAATTCGGTTTTCAACAACTTTTTTCATCATGTGAAACATTTCATAATAATCCTTTTTTTTTGTGCTTGTTTATTGAGTGCGACTGCTAAATAAGCCACCATGGGGCCAAAGAAAGCTCTGAGTGCCAGCCCTTTGATAAAGAAGGCTAGAAACACTATAGAATTCGATGGTGGTAGTGATTATGATGGTGGTATAGGGTGGTAGTGATTGTGGTAGAGGGTGGTAGTGATGGTGGTAGAAGGTGGTAGTGATGGTGGTAGTGATGGTGGTAGAGATAACCTCTCTTCCCTCTCCCCTCCTCGCCATCTTCCATACGCCAGCAAGAGTCTTCAGTAAAGGTAAAAGTGATTTAAATGTTCATTTAACCATTTCATTAGTGCTTTATATTTATTTCTCATTGTTTTCTGTATGTAAAACTATAGTTATTTTCTATAAAATGTATTTTTTGTTAACATTTTTGGGTGTCTGGAATGGATTAATTGAATTTACATACATTATTTCTCATGTGAAATATTGCTTCAGTTTTCATCGAATTCAGTTTTCGTCAGACTCTCTGGAACGAATTAAAGATGAAAACCGAGGTTCCACTGTATTTTTTTAACACAACAGCCATTTCCCATGTGGTTGCTGGTAAATTTTATTGCATGCTTCATGCTGTTTAGTTTGAAAGTTAATAGTCTGGGGGTGGGAGTACAGTACCTGTATTCTGAAGGACGAGTCACTGAAATTCTTGGCAAAGAGCTATTGAATAAGTGGTCATTGTGTTTCCTTCTTTAGGTCACCCTGCCTTAGTAAGGAATAGGCATTGTGGCTTAAAGAAACAATAAGAATGATGAGTTAAAAATAATAAGATAATTTTGGAGCAGAATGGTAGAAAAATCTTAAGGACCCTTGTTTGATGGATAAGTATTCTTTAAGATTATATTGGTATGAAAGTTATAAGAATACTCAGAATAATTTCACAAACTAATGTGATAGCCAAGAGCTTGGACAAACAAGTTCGGTAGTGCATATGTCACAGTATTAACCCTTTGACTGTTTTGGTCATATATATACGTCTTACGAGCCAGTGTTTTGGATGTATATATACTCAATAATTCTAGTAGCTTCAAATCGAGCAGGAGAAAGCTGGTAGGCCCACATGTGAGAGGATGGGTCTGTGTGGTCAGTGTGTACCACATAAAAAAATCCTGCAGCACGCAGTGCATAATGAGAAAAAAAAACTGACCATTTTCTTCTTGGATTAAAACACCGACTTTGAGGTGTATTTCCGTATAGTATTTATTGTTTTATTCTTGTTTTCATGGTCTCACGTGTTAAAATGGAAAACAGTTTGCAGAAATAGAGATGATTTTGATTAGTTTCAAGATGAAAATGACCTTGAAATTGAGCTCAAAGTAGCGGAAATGTTCGATTTTTACCAATGTTCAAGAGTAAGCAAATTACACCACACGTCCAATACATGTCAACTGGGGAGTCTAATATTCTTTCACTAGTGCACTGATATTATTTATACCATTTTTTACAATAATGCAGCAGTCTGCATAACAGTAAATTTTGTATTTTTTATATGAATAAAAAATAAAAATAGAAAGCAATAGTAATATAAGAGGGGCCTAGAGACGTGACTAATGAACAGAGGATATGTTATTTTAGTGCCAAGAACGTCTACATTGTTTATTCTGGACCCTATTTTGAAATTGGCATCATTTTTAATTGCGTGAAATTGGCCAAATTGCCAGTTTCTGACCAATTTATTGGGTAGTTCAAATCGGTAAATGGGGAGTTTCTTGTACTCAGTTGATAGAAAAAATGGAGTTCTAAAGAAATAGCTGTGAGTTTGGTCAACTGGAACAACAGAATTAGGCAAAAACAGTGCTCAAAGTCGGCAAAATCGCCGATGCATATGTGTCGCCGAGACTGCTAACTTTGCGGAAGCATAATTCCAAATTTTGTACATTTGGTGTCATTACCATCGGGAAAAGATTCTCTATCATTTCATAATTTTTTTTTTTTTTTTTTTTTTTTTTTTTTTTTTTTTTTTTTTTTTTTAAATTTTGTGACATAGAATGACAGTTTCAGATAGGGGCTTGCAACAGTCAAAGGGTTAAATAAACATGCATGACACTTTTATAAATGTTAAATATACCACTGAAATTATAGTGGCTAAGGGAGCTAGAGACTGGAGTATTGAAAGAATATTTTGTTTAATCCATCCTGCTGGTGGTGTATAAAATACATTTCAACTGGAAGAAATATATTGGCACTTTATCATATTAAGGTTCTAAACTAATAATATTTATCGTATGTGAACTTGATTCAGTAGTGAGATGGTTATCACTAGTGAGATGGTTGTGAGGCAGATAGACAGACTGAAGCAAAATAAGTCGCCAGGTCCTGATGAGGTTTTTTCAAGGGTTCTTAAGGAATGCAAAATGGAACTCTGTGAACCATTAACTAATATTTTTAATTTATCTCTTCAAACAGGTGTAGTGTCTGATATGTGGAAGATGGCTAATGTAACTCCTATTTTTAAAACAGGGGACAAGTCGTTACCGTCAAATTACCGCCCAATAAGCCTGACCTCAATTGTAGGCAAATTACTAGAGTCAATTATAGCTGAGATTATAAGAAGCCATCTCGATAAGCATAGCTTGATTAATGATACTCAGCATGGATTCACAAGAGGCCGGTCTTGTCTAACTAATTTATTAACTTTCTTCAGTAAAGCTTTTGAGGCTGTTGACCACAATAAAGAATTTGATATTATTTACTTAGATTTTAGTAAGGCTTTTGATAGAGTTCCGCACCATAGACTGTTAAAGAAAGTGGCAGCTCATGGCATTGGGGAAAAGTGCTCTCGTGGATCGAGTCATGGCTCACTGACAGGAAGCAGAGAGTGTCCATAAATGGGGTTAAATCCGAGTGGGGATCTGTAACAAGTGGCGTTCCACAGGGATCAGTCTTGGGCCCGTTGTTGTTTATAATATATATCAATGATCTTGATGAGGGAATTACTAGTGATATGAGCAAATTCGCCGATGACACAAAGATAGGTAGGATAATTGATTCAAACGTAGATGTTAGGGAACTTCAGGAGGATTTAAACAAACTCTATTCTTGGTCAGAAAAGTGGCAGATGCAGTTCAATGTAGATAAATGCAAGGTTCTGAGGCTTGGAGTGCCCATAACACTAGTACTTATAAATTAAATGATGTAGAACTTAGCCATACAGATTGCGAAAAGGACTTGGGGGTTATGGTGAGCAGCAACCTTAAACCAAGACAGCAATGCCTAAGCGTACGTAATAAGGCAAATAGATTACTGGGATTTATATCAAGAAGTGTAAGCAACAGAAGTCCAGAGGTCATACTGCAGCTTTATACATCATTAGTAAGGCCTCACCTAGATTATGCAGCTCAGTTCTGGTCTCCGTATTACAAAATGGACATAAATTCGTTAGAAAACATTCAGCGTAGGATGACTAAATTAATACATAGCATCAGAAATCTTCCTTATGAAGAAAGATTGAAGACTCTTAAGTTACATTCACTTGTTAGACGAAGAATGAGGGGAGACCTGATCGAAGTGTATAAGTGGAAGATAGGTATAAATAAAGGGGATATTAATAAGGTCTTGAGGATGTCTCTCCAAGAGAGAACGCGCAGTAATGGATTTAAATTAGGTAAGTTTAGATTTAGAAAGGACATAGGAAAGTATTGGTTTGGAAATAGGGTAGTTGATGAGTGGAACAGTCTACCTAGTTGGGTTATTGAGGCTGGGACTTTGGGTAGTTTTCAAATCTAGGTTGGATAAGTACATGAGTGGGAGGGGTTGGATTTGAGTGGGACTTTCACATCAGAGCTTATTTCTTGGGTGGCATTGAAAATTGGGTTGGGCAAATGTTTTGTTAGTGGGATGAATTGTAAAGGACCTGCCTAGTATGGGCCAGCAGGCCTCCTGCAGTGTTCCTCCTTTTCTTATGTTCTTATGTTCTTATGTGGTTGAAAATTTTAAGTTAATATTTGTTTCTGATTTTTTGGATTATGAAAATTTTTATTGGTTTACAATGTAATCTTACTCCATGGGAAAGTGGAGAGGAATCCTTTTTTTATAAGCCATGGGTGTCATAAGAGGCAACTAAAATGCTGGGAGCAAGGGGCTAGTAGCCCCTTCTCCTGTATACCGGCCATATCCTACCCTGCCTCAGTGGGATATGGCCAGTTTATTGAAATAAAAAAAAAAATTCTTTTTAGGTCACCCTGCCTCGGTGGGAGACAGCCAATGCTTTAAAAAAATTTAGTGTTATCTTTGATACTATGCCTTTTTATATTCACAATAGGGAGCACCGGGATCACCTGTGCGAGACTCTACAGAAAAGCAGAACAACGCAGCTGCAGTAGAAGAGCCTAAAGAAACTCAAACACTCATGGCAGGTTAGTCAATAGCATCCCATTACTGGTACTTTTATTCACTTATCGTTGCATGTTGCATTTACTTCTCAAGAGTTTATTTTATCATTATGTAACTTGAAGAAGCCTTATGTCAGATTATGTACTGAAGATAGGACAGTCCATTAGCTATAAATAGGTAATGATAAACAGTAATAATAATTATGTGTGAGCTTGACACCAAGTAACCCAATGAGCAATAGAGAAACAAGACTGATAAGTTGATCTCCATATTTCACGACAAACAAATTATGTTTACCTCTGAAGAAAAACATTGGATCACTTATTTCGGCAGGCAAGTAATGCTTTTCTGATAATTATGTATTGGATATTTGCCCATTACATGTGGATTTTCAGTCCACAGGATCTTGATAAGCAGAATTTTATGTATTAACATAATTCTCTAAGTATGAATATTAAGTGTGGAGATTATTCTAAACAAACTTTGCTGAATGATGAATATAATAATGTGTTGAGACTGATTATTTAATGGCTGTCTGCACTGGTACTAACTAACATCTTGTTAAATAAACGCTGTGCTCATATACATAAAGTTTGATATCTTAAATGTAAAAATGTGCTTGAGGTTGTGTATGGTAATTGTTGATCAGATCAGGGTTTGGAATAATTATTTCAGTACTGTATTAACTTCTAAAATACTGTATGTAGCAAACTTAAATTGTTGGCTTGAACCTTCATGGAAGATTCTGTAGTTATGTTTATTGCAGGTTATTTTTACCTTCACTGTCAGTGTTATGATAAACAGTTTTCCCTACAAATATACGGGGCCATGTTTTCATGGATTCCAACTGTCCAATGTTTTTACAGATTCTGACTATCTTTGTCTTGCCTAAATCTTTCTTTTTTATTCTGGTCATTATTTCTATAAATGCAAAATAATCCAAAATTGGAGACAAATTGTTATGCAGATTTAATTTTGTATTTTATTAAGCTTTTGCTTTCAAGGGGCCTTTGGGAACATAAATCCCCATGAATTTGTAGGGAGAGCTGTGTCATAAACACTGACCAATAAACGGGTAAATCCCACGTGGATAGAAAATCAATCATGGAGTGTCAGTCAGGGACCCTCTTCAGCAGATCCTCATCTGCCAAAATGTTTAGATAATTTCTACTCCATATTTAATTTTCTGTGTGCAGTTTACTTGATAAGAAACTTTGAAGATTTGTTAGTTTTATCAGATCTTAGTAATTTTTAAGAATTGTGAGATTTACCTGACTGTAGTCATTTTCATGAATTGTGGTATTTACCTGATCTTAGTCATTCTTAAGAATTAAGTTTAACTGGAGTACTGTATGCAGTGAGTAATCAGATGGTTTTCTTGAAAAGTAGAGTTGTTGCTGATGTTTGTCATCAGAAAGAATGGTGACTGCAGTTACCTGTGAAATTTGAATTTTAAAGCCTTCTCTCCCCACACAATTATTTCAGAGGAGATGCAGAGTCAAGTGTAACGAGGAGTTGTGGAGTGGATAGGGTGAGGTATTGTAAGACACACAGCTTCCACTGCCTGCTTTGGGGGGAATTTCATAATAGTAATTAATGTTCTTGTGAAAACTACACTCTGCTCATACTAAGTTTAATTATGTTAAAGTGTATATAAACTTTATCAGATTAGAGAAGCTTTGTTCATAATTTTATTTATAATTGTTTATGCACTAGCTTATATTTATGAAGCTACTTTGCAATTGCTGTTACATTATGAGAGAGATTAACCTCAATTTAATTTTCTTTACACAAATCATACAACCGTGAGTGAATCTCCAGAAGGTCAAGATTGTTCATTAATGAGCGTGTCTGTTATAAGGCCTTAATAAAACACTATGGTGTCTTGATTCTCATCTTTTCTACAACAGGCAACATTGTTTTGCACCAAGTTGTATTTTCTTGCATTTATATAAATATTAGCTTCAACGCATCTCTCGCAAGACGGTGGAGTGAATGATGGTGAAAGTTTTTTTTTTTTTTCGGGTCACTCTGCCTTGGTGGGAGACGGCCACTGTGTTAAAAAAAATCTAGAAAACACAATATGGACTGTTGGATTCCTAAATTATAAGTGATTCCTAGATGACAAAAAAAAAATTGTCATTCTGTATAGATCATTGCTTCAGGTAGTATAAGTGTGCATATTGAAACAGTAAATCACAGTGAGTATACACTATTTCCAAAAATTAAATCTATTGCAGCTCTATACCTCTTCATAAATAATTTAATAAAACAAATTCTTGTGAAGCTTTGAAACTTCTTATGTCAGCTAATATTGTTCAGTTGTGTGATATAATAATTAACTTATGTTGGCATTTACACTACAGTATTTTTGTTTGGTGTTCACTGTAGTAAGTTATATACTGTATAGGTAAAAAATATTAATGCATATGCCGTTTCCCACTCAGAACTGCAATGTTAAATACATTTTCAGTTAGTAGATGTAATGATAAAGTTAATATAGAAACTTAATATTACCTAACACAGTGAGAAAGACAGTGAGGGTGAGAATGAGTGAGTAGAGTGTACTGGAATAAAGCAAGAGTGAGTCTAAGAAGAAAAGATGAGGATTTTGTTTGAATTATTAACCTGGAGGGTTAGTAATCCAGGATGACCTAATAACATCAGAATGTTGTTGATAGGGGTGTGCTAAAGTATCGGTATTGGTGGATATAGACAAATTTTGATGGTACCAGTATCAGCCTGAAACTGAGTACATGTAATGGTATTGGAAAATTTGGTATTGTCCCATTCCTAGTCATTGAGGGCTCTTTCTTATGTCCATCCCCCAGGATTCAACCCACACTCATCTAACATCCAAGTACCTACTTACTGCTAGGTAAACAGGGGCATCATAAGTCCATCAGATGTAAAAAAAAAAAAAACATGCCCAACATTTGCACTCATGTCAGGGATTGAAACCCTGTCCCTCACTTTGCAGGATAAGGCACCTACCAACTGAGCCACGATTTACTTTAAAGCATAATACTCCATATAGTATTTGATGTTTAGTATCAGGTGCACTGAAACTTCAGTTTCTAGAATTCAGATAAATCGAGTGTGCGAATAACTGGACAGAATCATGATTATCCAGATAGTTCTTAACATTTAAAAATCCATACTAAATACAGTGCAGTTTTAGATGATCAGATTTAATTCAGAAGTTTAGATAATGACAAGATTTTTTTCCCCATTTTCAGTAGCCTTCCCAGTTCATCTGGGCTTTAGGCCTAGCAATAAGTTGTTCTGATAGGACTGGCAATGTTTTACTGTGATAGGTTCTGCAGTGTATTACATCTGATTGGTTCAAGGTGATCATGTGATGACCAGGTGGTTGCAGATTGACACATTTCATTTGCTTCCTTTAGTCAAACGCCTCTCTTCATTTAGCATAATAGTATCTCCTGCATATTTTAGTGCATTTTGTTAAGGCAGATCATAAGTATGTATAAATAATTATATTTTTTTTTAGTCCATAGCAGCAAAATAAATTATTGGGATATCAAAATCCAACAATAAACTAAAGGAAAATCCTGCTATGTAGCAGCAGCATCACGGAAGACTCGCTCTAGTGCTTCCTTGTGAGATGAACCATGTTAAAGATCATTATTGTCTCGAACATATGTTTCATCATTTTCCTATGAATTTAGAAATGTTATTTTCAGCTAAGCTGAAAGGAAAATAAGTTTCATTGTTCACTGCTGTACCTCAAAATTCACAGCAAATCTTGATATTAAGAGCAGCATCAGTATTTTTGCAATATTAATGCATATCTCATACACACACACATACCACCTTCACACACATCTAGTTAAGGTATGCCTAGTTCACGAGAAACGGATTGCCATGGGGCATATTGATCATTTTTTTTGAAGCTCAAAAAAACAAAAAAATCATATGAGCCCATTCCTAGTTATAAAGTGCAGTATAGATAAAATAGTTAAAAATTATTTTGCAAATGAATAAGAACACATTTTACATAATTCATTGAATTATATAGAATAATTAATGAGCAGAATACCAGTTTTCACATAGTTTGACTTTACTAACATGGCTTACACTGTATATATATATATATAAAGTTAAAGGGCATTTATCGTTGTTTAACAGTTATTGGTTTAAAATGTCTATTAACATGACATGATAAAATAAATATATTACAGTATTCTACTTTGAAAACATAAAAGTAATGTTTATTTCTAACAAGAATGCATTTGCTTAGAGAATAAGGTAAACTGCATATCTATAACATAGGTTATAGAAGAAAAGGAACCCATAACAAATGTATCATTTTTTTATATATTAGAGAGCTTGCATTAACAAGTTTACATATATACCAAGTAGATAGTTAAAATTGCACCTAATACAACTAACTGCACTCAACAGATAATCTTACATATTGTTGTTTATACTAATTCAGTATGTTAATAAACAGATCATACATATACATTAAGAGATAAGGGAATGGGTATAAATAAGTTGCACTTTTATGAAATCATGGAAGAATGATTGTGGAAATGTTGGCCAAGCTATTTATCTGTTTTGCATTCTAAATTGAGGTGTCTTATAGCACAGTATAATATTCTGGTTTTGTAATACCACAAATTATGAAACTCAGAATTAATTGAGCATATCTGTATATACATGAGCATATGAAAATGCATTATTGATTCAAAATTAATGCTGATATAAAAGAAAGATGTTTGTAATTGTGTCATTGGCCTTGTAGTTTAATATTTCCTCACCACATACTACTGTCCACTGGCCTCTACCAGCAGAGCTTTACACATACCCAGTGCAAAGGCTTGTCAGGAGTGGTGCCTGAGCTGAAGGTTATGAGCTACAAGTAAAGAATTTTGAGAATTACCAATAGTCTTTACCTAAGAAGCAAAGAACATGAAATGTGATCATGACATACCAAATACTATGTGCATAGAAGGGTAGATGAGGATTGCTTCTTTTTCAAGGATGCAATAAAGACATA